TGCACTTTAAGCTATCTATCCGGTTTCTAGATCTGCCACACCTGCTAATAACTGTGCTTTTTAAAATTAAATTAACTGCAAAAAAATGTATTTTTTACATATGTAATTAAGAACATTACAAATCCAACAAATGAAGCTGCCCACATAAGTGACCTAATGTTTTGGTACTTGAAAGGTACGATTTTATTATATAAAAGCAATTTTAAGACAATCAACCAAGCACTGAACATTTAAAGTTACAACAAATTGGGCCATATTTTTCCGACCTTTTCCTCTGCCACTCATTCACACCGTTTCCTTCTTGCCAGTTCCATTGTTCATGCAGCTGCAGGATGACCTGGGTCAGGGGACTAACCCAATTGAAAACTAACCTGTAGTGTTACACTATAAAAAGGCGGGCCCATAGTTAAGGACGTCTGAAGTACCTGCAAAAGACAACTAAAAAACAGTACAGTGTGCTATACAACATATGTATGCATTATTTTTGAAGATGCCCACAACTCTTTTTGGGAAGCTAACCAATTAAGCAAAGAAGTTGTGCGGAATGCCTACGAACTATGTTACTCCTTTTCTCACTTTTTAGTGTTTCCTTCGGTGATGCACAAATTCAAAGACAAGATCCCAAATCCAGTCTGCACAGGAATTTAATACTTCAGAATTAATTATTAAGGAATAATTAAGCAGCAAGGTTGATTATCATGCATATGGCTGGAAAAAAAAGAAAGAGTTCTCTTCCATGTTACCTTTACAGCTCTGATTCTACCCCCGAGCACCAAATTATTGCACAACTCTACTAAACTATCCCATTCTGCTTCCCACTTCACTGTTACCAATGTATGCTCTTGGTGCAACTCTTTTCTTCAATTTTAAGAGCACTACTTCCCATAGCAATTGTATTTCATGAAAATCAATAGTTTTCATTTATTTGAAAAGGTAGTTTAGTGGCTTGGTACAGAAAGAAGTCTGACCTTGAATGTACTCCAAGTGTTAAGAAAATAAACCAAAAGCAAAGAGTTTGTTTTTGTAATTGTCACCATGCAAGCTGAAAATTTAGAAATTGGGGGATCTACTACCATGTTTCTAAACTGAAAACAATAGAATACATGTAGAACTCTAAAATGGGCAATCAGGGATATCTGCTTTGATGACGGGATGGGAACACCAGCTCCATACTTCTGCTCATCCTTAACCTCCCACTTTCCTATTGTGCACAAAGCCATCATTTATTCAAGGCTTTTCCAATAGACTCTTATCTCTTCCTATCCTTTGGGGAGCTGCTGCAAAGTGCAGTAAAGAAAGCACTGCTGTATACAGCTCTCACTGCAATCCCATGAGGCCAAGGTAGGTGCTTCACAGCTGGTTCAAGGAAAAATATTAAGCAGTTAAATCCACAGGAATGTGGTACACGGTTTAATCCAAAAGACTGGGTTATCACTGAGAAATGGAACTGCTGAGGAAGCCCAGGTTTGACTGAGGCTGTGATCACAGGACTGGGTGACATGGAGGAGGGAAGAGTCTCTGTGCCAAAGCCTCTGCAGTTAATGGCTATCTTCAAGCTGAGTTTTCTGCTCTTAGGTGTACTGAAGTAGCAGCATTTCAGGAAAAGTCTCCTTGGTCCACTGAAACTTAGACACACGAAAACAGTTAGTGCCTGATGTACACGTGAGCTGCAAATGGCATGATTCGGGCAAAGGGACACCTAACTAAGGTATATCAGTGTCCGAGTTTTGTCTGCATTGCCCCTCCCTAAGGGTGCGAGGGAAGTCAACTTGTTATCCTGCAATCCTCAACTTTGTTGGCAGATTAATCAAAGGCAACTACACTCAAACCTTGAATAAATGTACAACATACACACGTACAAGGCAGTCTGCAAGTTAGGAGACTTTGTGCTGACCCCATTATGCAGCACTGGTTCAGCACCAGTAACTGTTACCGTACTGAAATCATTGGAAGCTGGGCTAAGCCCCTCATGGAAAGAAAGGCAGAATACAGACAACTTAGATATGTCCTGGACTAGATTAGTTAGACTATCTATAAAGTCTTGCTAATGGTGTTGACGTTTTGATCAGAAAAAGTACTTGCATATGGTTGTGTGTATGTGGCATGCCACAAGTACCACCTGAAGCAAGATCAGTCTAGAACGGAGTGTTAGAAACCAGTACACAGTTAGGCAAAATATAAAAGTCCACATAGTGTGAGAAGCAGATGGGATACCAGGAGAAAGCACACTTAAGGAGGCATTTTGTATTGCTGCCAAAAGAGTTCTGGGCTCTGGTGAGATGAATACATCAGGGGACTAATCCAACCGAAAACTAACCTGCAGTGTTACACTATAAAAAGGCAGGCCGATAGTTAAGGAAATAGAAATAACTGCCCCTATGAACACGCATCTGTCACATGATGAATTTGTCAAGATACTAAACAAGATGCAGGAAAGAAATCATAGTTACGCAAATTCTATTAACTTTATAAGACATTGCTCAAACCTGAGGCAAAAAGGAGGAACTAAAATTTATATTTTCATACAAGCAAGAGTGAAGTAATTCATGTGAATTACTAATATTCCTGAATGGAAAAATATCGTCTTTCTTATCAGCGAGTTTATGATCTGATACTGTTTTAAAATTGTAATTATATACCATTCCTCCCATATTGACTACATCCAGGATTTCAGCTCACAGGAAGGACAGACAAACAGACTGAATTAAGACTACATGAGCAATTTAAAGCATAATTTTTTTTAAACTATGTTACTGAATTTGTTAAAAATGGTAAACTACATTTGATAGATTGATTTCAGGAAGTATAGTCACATCCCAAGAGATTATAAAGCTTTAAATAAACTAATCTCTAAATAACTGTATTTAAAAAAAGAATATTGTCATTAGTAAGCTGTATTTAAAATTTTCATAATTTTAGCATCAGCATTGATTATATGATGATAACAATGACCACGTACTTATGGGCTAGTTTAGCATTTTTAGTATTAAAACGTTAATGCCTACCAAATGAAGTTTCACCTCAACCTGCAAGTGATGTAATCACAAAGTTTATTTGAAACAAGAACTCATGAACAGCTTTTCTCTTCCTGTTTACTCCTGCAATAAATCTGCTGTAAAGCTCTGGGGTTAGCTGAGCCTTCATCTGCGTCAAACCGCACTGCTGCACACTTTTATCAGGTCCTTAAATAAAGGCATCCCGCTGTAAAACTACACAGTGTTGAACCTCAGCTTGCGAACAACCTTAAATGAGATCTTCACATATACAGGGATTTCTGTACTGCACTCCGTACTGAAGAGCAGACACGTTCTTGCTTTGTATCTTACATGCTATAAGCAAGCTTTTCACTCCAGTTCCAGTACTACAGATAAAAATTCCTATAATCCCCTAAAACCTTAGCAAAAGCAGAATTTGCTTGTCATCACCACAAAGACTGAAATGGTAACCATAAAAGAACTTTTCCGAGATCCCACTGCAAGTTCTGACTGGACAGAGTTGTCAAGTACGACCCCAGTGCTTTTAGTGCTGCTAAGAGCCTGTGCGGTGCTGTTCTTCCCTTCTCCCCCACAGCTGCAAATGAATGCTGAGAATCATCTAAACGCTGCAGAAGCTATACCAGCCACTATAATAACTCAAGAATTACAAATACTACTTCAGGGGTCTCACAAACCTTTCTTGAGCTATTGGATTTTCTTTTTTAGCACTTGAAAAGGCATACTACACACTAGTATAATACAATACTGTTAATAAATAATAAAATAACTGTTTAGGCTGGCAACATATGATTCTTGCTTTTATATTCTACGATAACCACACAATATTAGGAATTGAAGATCAGAATTAAATATTGGCATTAAAGCCTCTGGACAAAGATACCTGTATCTCGGGTTTTCTAAGTGATTTAATTCCATTTTAAAGGATATCAATATTACTAAAAATAAACTACGTGCAACTATCTTTAGACTGTCCAAACAATGCTGTGTAATAATTGTAAAGCAATGCATTTATTTGTCAAGAGAGTTATAAAAATATCTGTTCAAGTGCTTCCTATACTTTTTAAAAGTTACAGCTCAAAATTAACTTTCAGTACAAATACTGGTATTAGCACTACACAAAAAGGAATGCTGGAAATCCTCATCAACTTTGCATAAAAACTGATTATAGAAATGCATTCCTTTTTGTAGTCTTTTCCATCTCTAAGCTCTTCTTACTTGCCAAAGGCTGTATTTTTCATCCAAATAATTAACCCCAAATTTCAGGGCAAAAGAGAGAGAGAGAGAGATGAGCATTGCTTTTTTTAAAACTTTCCAAGGCATTATTAGTTTTTAGGTGCCTGATTTAATCACAAAATCTTATCCTAATGGAAGACAGACTGATGGGGAAGAATGATTCTATGGTCTTTTTTTAGTTAAAAAGAACTTTTGTATAATAATGCCGTTAACTAAAATGTTTAATCCACATACATTTAGAGGCGTGATAAAATCCAATCTCCACGTATAACAGGCTATCCAGTGTGAAGAAATCAGAATTGAACATTGCAATCATACTACACTATTTAGTGCAATGACATCTGTGCTAAAACAAAACAAATCAAATTAATTCAGCTTGTCTCATCATTATTCAAAAGCATTACAATGTCTTATAAAGACTTATTCAAGTTTCTAAAGAGACGCTTACCCTAGCACCAAGAAACCTGAGCAGCACTTATACTCAGGTGCCGGTGAAAAAGAAGAGCAGCTGTGCACCAGTCTGCTGATTTTAATGAATTTCACAAAATGCTGCTGCAGCAGACGTCACATAAAAACAGACTAGAAGCCAGTCTTTGAAAATTGCTTCACTAGAACCAAGCAGCTAGTAAATAACTGATTCATAGTAGCTGAATGTATATCTCAACACAAAATTTTGATTTCAGCGGATAAAGTCTTTCTTCAGTGTTTAAGGGAACCTGTACTACAAAGTAGTGAGTGAATTCAAAACATCAACAATAAGTCTAAGTTTACCTTCATCCTATCCATGTATGCTTCCATTTTTAATTGCTCCACAGCTTTCCTTGCTTGAGATATATTGGTTGTACTGTTGGACATTAGCTCCTTCATTCTGTTTTCCCTAGAAGAGTCAAAGTTGAAACAATTGAAAAGTATAACCCAGAGCAAATAAAGCACAAAGGAATAACTTTGGAACTGCTTTGATCTCGCAAAACACAGATGTTCAGAGACAATGCAAAGATAGCTGTTCCTTCTCCTTTTTAAGATACGTAATCTGTGCTGTAAAATGGGATGGCAGAATACAAATACGATGGTGATTCGTACTCAACGCTATTCTGAAGAAACAAAATAACATTTCAGTACTTGTATAAGTCTGGGTAGGGTAAATACTGATTTACATTATAGCAGCTGTATGAAAACAAAACGAGAGTTTTAATATTTGCCAATACAAAGAACGTGTGTTCTACATCTGTGTTAACTAGTCGAATGGAACACAAGTTTCTCCCTTAAGTGCCCTTTAACCAACTAAAATCATATTAGAACACGCTAGCTTTTTTTCTTTTGGCCTTTGTTTACATTCTTCTAGCTCACATTCATCACAAGGTACAGAATTAAACACGTGTGGAGGAGTTGGCTTTACATAAAATTTAATGCACAATTCCAAAAAAAATCCTAGCCAACCAATCAGCCTCCAACCAACATTCAGATTTGTTTTGACTTGCAATGGACAAGCAGGAAGGATACTAGCCATCCACAAGATCAGAGTTCTGAATTCTAGCTTATCTCTGGACTTCTTCTTTAGCCCAGACCCCTAGTTTTTAAGTCTTGATTCCCATGTGAAAATAAGAACAAACATATTTACTTGTGCTTAAAAAATTATAACTCCACAAGTATGAATGACTTACATTTTGTTATCTCCACGCATGGACTACAAATGACCACAGAGCCAAAAAATCAAAGATAAATGCGCTACTTCTACATTTGCCACAGCTCCGGTCCAGAGGCAAATTAGAAATTTAATTTTGTATAATTCATTTAAATTAACTGAATTAAGCAACCAACACTCCATGAACGGCGCAGATTATTCCAGTTCTCCCTAGCTTTTCTGGAAATTCAATTGCTCAGACAGTGAGGGTTATAAACGTTATACCAGACAATTTCAGCAGTCACTGGCTGGATCACAGTTGGAGAGAACAACACTTTCTAGTACATCCAGCTAGTTGTTAAGTGTCTATTGAATAAGAGATTCAGTTAAGAACACAATGGAATACTGAAAAGGCTCTTAGGCATAAAAATGCTTTCAAAAATCCAAACCATATTTCCTAAGCAAAGCCACAAACACAGTACATCCTTACCTATGTTCTGAAGCAGCAAATGAAAAAAAAAAGAAAAAGGAAAAAAAAATGCAACTACTCTGGTAAACTGTTTCATAACATCAGAAAACAATCAGAATAAGAGAGTTCATAAAGAGTTCTAGAATAGCTATTTTGGCCACCAGAGAAAATTTCCGTTTATCCCTAGTAAGAGGTTTGTTTATACCTTGAGGTATAAAGATTTATTCTGTTCCAAACCCCGCTCCTACCCTGGCCTTTACATACACTTAAATATTTAACTGCTGTGTTTCTGGAAGTGCTCATTATGCATTTAAGTATCTAATCTCTTTTTTCATATAGACTGTTCTGGCTTAAGAACTTTACAGGGCAGATGTCTCCTGTTTCACATTTCACTTACCAAGCAAAATGCACCTCTAATGTCTTTCATTCTTTGCAAATTGCAGTATATATTTGCGTATCAGGTAACGCCCTATCATATGTTAAGTGACGTTGACAATGAGAATTGCTCCCACTTTCAAGCCAAACTATGGGCTACAATATGATGAACTGGTCCTCTTAGCATTTATAGCTTTGGTTCAGACCTGGTTCTGTTCTCCTTAGGATCTACAATACTCTTTAATGTTCTTATCCTTAATGTTCTTTAATTAAATAACATTGTTATTTAGAAATAAAGCACTGGAAGGAAAAGAAATTTTAATCAGCCAGTCTATTACGCATCCTTTCCCAAATGATCATCGCCTAGAATCTGAGGAAGACCTCATCTTCAAACACACCGTTGCGGGATCTCTCTCTCCGTGTTTCATTTCAGTCTGTAGCCTGAAAAACGACTCTGACCTTCTCTCCTAAGAGAGATACTTCTAAATAGTCAAGTATTCTTTAGGCCTTTAGACTCCCAGGATGGCATAGTATTTATCATATTTGGAGATAATCTAGAGGATCCTCAAAAGGAGTAACTTTTCCCCCATCTTTTAAATAACCTATCAAGCCTTGCATCAGAAGTTACTGAGCTGGGTTCACTACATTAACTCCTGCTTGGATTTTCCAGCAGCCCATTATTAAGTTAGATCAATACATATGTACGTGGGTTCCGATAATCCCCTTAGTTACAGTAACTATGTTACTGATGAGACTATATGCAGTCTACATGTTAGTGTTACAGGCCAGATTATACAGAAGCTCATTGTTTATGCTGTGTGTTGAGGATATTAATCTAGGTCTCTTCGACTCCTTTCTTTAAGGGGAATACTGATCACGTTAATAAAGAAGAGTGACATCAACTATGTGGCTTTTTTCAGCCAAAGTAGTTTCTGCTGGCTGGCAAACCATGTTTGTCGCTTGTTTTCTAAAGCATTGCCCCTGAGAGCTCCATAACGACATTCTTCCATCCAGTTGAAGTCCACATTTTTGTTTTTATCTCATATGAGCTTCCTTCTTTTTTCTAGATGCTGTTAACTCATCCATGCCAAAGGCTATAATCTCCAGGGCTCATAAAAGTGCTTGTGAAGAACAACTTTATTTGTTCTTTATTTGTTTTTAGAATAGATTAAGTTATACCCACTAGCACTTCAAAGGCCAAGTACAGCCCGATAACACAGGAAGTTGCAAAAATACTTGCAGGTACAGTCTGACCTTGCATAGGTAAGGGGTACAATCTACATTTACCAGGCTCTATAAATACTTGGCTGTAAAATGCAGGAAAGTCTGAAAAAACATGTAGCAGGGAAGCAAAATACAGTTTTCAAGCTCTTTGGTGCAGGCGTTTTCTCATCATATACACAGCACAGATTTCTGATTGATTTTTGTTAGGATCAACTAGATTTCTACAGGGAATAAGGATGAAAAGCTGCACTGCAGATTTTCCACCTTCCGCTTCCAGTATAATCTTAAAACATCACACCAAAAGAGCATCCTGTAGAATTAAATCTAAAAATCCCCAAAGCCAATTGTTGCCTTCTATTTTCTTTTAGCAATCCAAAGCAATGGAACTGAAATTACTAAGTTTTATAGGATAGTCTACAGAACCCAGCATCCATGTCTCCACAGAAGGCTTTTCCTGCAAGATCTATAGTTCTTCAAGCCATGCAGTGGAACAGAAAAGTTAACCCAACCACGCAAACTCTTCGTGACATGACGAGTCCTATTGACATTAGCGGGAACAAGCCCTGAATAAGGACTTGCACATCAGATTCTAGATTGCAGAAAAATCCCCACGTTTCATTGTCCACTTGCAAACACACCAGGAATACAAACAGCAGAATTTACAGCCTGACAGCTGTTTGACGGCAAACTGGCATGACAAAGGAGTTTCAGGAAAAAAAAATATAGGTGTTCTATAGTTGCTACCAAGCAATAGGAACTTAAAAAATACCATTGCACTAAGAGTGCCAGCTCTGCATAGCATCACTGTCCACAGGATATGCAATTTCTCCTTCTTCTGCAGGGTGAGCATGTGATAGGAACAACAATAGGAACAATATCTCCCACGACCAGTGCTGCCACCCACCAGATCTTACTCTGAGATTTCCCCCATCTGATATAGCTCTGTAAATGGAGAGGAGGCTAGGGAATCCCTTCGCTTTCTCTAGCCCATGGCGCATGAAAAAAAACTGAAAATGACTACAGTTTTGTGCTGTGTCTGTTAAAGAGAAGCCTATTAGTACCAACAGAAATTACTGAGCTTAAAGGCAAAACAATGCTTTTCACAATAAGGAAATAACATCATTTTCACTCCACAGAGATGGTGACTTCAAAAATAACTGCGATAGAAGAATTGCAGAATAAAAAATATGAACATTTCTCAGGATCACACTTGTAGTCACACTGATCCCAACTGTAGCAGGATGATGGAAACACCGACAGGAAAATATTAGGTGTTTGCTTTGAATTATATGCTAGAAGGAAAAAAATGAGACCTCCTGCAGTTGGACATCTCCAACGTTCTGTTTTGAAGCTGGCATTCCCCTACTACCATTGCACCCTTTTTCACTACTTATTTTCAACTTACACCACAAAGGAAGTTTGTGCGTGGATATGCCAGTAAAATACCCCTTTTTATTTCATTTTATAGTGAACTAAGAATTAAAACATCTCAATTTTTATGTCATTAAATATTTAGCAGTTTTGAAGCTGATCGTGTAATTGCAAACAGACAAACTTCAGCAGCTCATTTTTTTCCCCCAACGTAGTTTTTAAACAGTAAATATACCCAGTCTAACTGACAAGCTCCAGACTCTCTTCTTCCCTATGGCCAAACCTTTTATCAGAAAACATCATCTTGCTTGTCAGCATTTAAAAATCTAAGAAAAACACGGCTGAACTAATGCGGCATTTCACAATGACAATTTTTATGTAATTCATTATCATCAGCATACCAGTTATGTGCACAGATGACTTTAGTCTCCAGTAGATCAGAGATCCGGATGGTCTGAGACAGGAAGGGGGGACCTAACTTAGTATTTTTCTTCTGTTGCTAAGTTCAAAAGATAGTTGTGAACTTTTAAAGAAATACGTGAAGAAATTTGATTATTCCAGTTAAATCCTCTTTCAAATTTATCTGGACTGAATTGCAATGTATAGAATTAAAGTCGAGAAACCACCTCCAAGAAGCTCAGCACTTTATTTTCCACGGGACAGAAACGCTTTTCAAGTTGTTGCTCTGTTATTTCTGTTTCACTGCACTACCTTAATCGGTTTGCTGTGCAAACTGTGCAGCAGTTTACAGCACCACACATTAATAATAACTGCCAACAGCAGTTGGGCAGTAAGATTTGTGCCTCCATCAGCCCAAACTAGTCAGAAGGAAAGGAAGCCGCTCTCCTGGGTCCAACAGCAACCAGCTACAGAAAGAAGAATTAAGCACTTCGGACAGAGCCCCATGATTAGTGTCCAGATTAGTTCATAAATAGGGTTAAAGTCGCTATTTCTTAAGCAAAAACACCCTCCCCTCCCCCCAAAAACTTCGACTTTCAGGGATAAATTAATAATCCCCACATAGCAGCTACCAGTAGCTACGGAAGAAGGCCTTATTTAAGAACACACGACACAAGAAAACCTCGCGGTCAGATACTACTCCGAAAAAACACATCCGCCGCTCCGAGCTGCGGGTCG